TTACCTTATTTTGCTTCGCTTTGCTTAGATATTCAGTGACAGGACATTTAACATGCAAGCAGCCACTCAATATATTCTTCTGCTGAGCTTTTGTCACAGAAATGTGGGGACCGTCGCCAACAAAATCCTCAAGGAAATAGAAATACTTTCGCTGCAGATTTTTAAAAAAATCATATTGGTTTAATAAATTACTAAGAATGAACTTGTCAAAATGCACACCAATTTACACCAAGGACAGTAACAGAGTTGGTTCCAACAGAGTTGGTTCCAACAGAGTTGGAAGGGACTTTTGAGGTCTTCTAGGCAATCCGCTCAAGCAGGAAACCCTGTATCATTCTAGACAAATAGTTGGCCAATCTCTTCTTAAAAACCTCTAAATGATGGAGCATTCACAACTTCTGGAGGCAAGTTGTTCCAATGATTGATTGTTTTAACTATCAGGAAATTTCTCCTTAGTTCTAGGTTGCTTCTCTTCTTGATTATTTTCCATCCATTGCTTCCTGTCCTAGCTTCACATCCTTTGGAGAATAAGTTGACCCCTTCTACTTTAACAGACACTCAAATATTGAAATACTGCTATCAAGTCACCCTTAATCCTTCTTTTCTTTAAACTAGACATACCCAAATCCTGTAACTGTTCCTCATATGTTTTAGCCTCCAGTCTCCTAATCATCTTTGTTGCTCTTCTCTGCACTCTTTCTAGAGTCTAGAGTACAGTATTCATTCTTCCGTTTAATTATTGAAAATTCTTTATTGGCAAATATTAATTGTCTGGGAAGTGCCTGGTGAAAAATTAAAATAAATTGTGTAACAGTAGCAAGCATTTTTGTAAGAAATGTGTTATTCTTGAATCCCATTTTTATTCAGTGGTTTTTGTGGGGATGGAATAGTGAATACTTGACTTCAGCCAAAGCCAGTGAGATCTACTGATCTCTGGATATTGTCTTGGGTTCTTTGTGACTCCTTAATAAGAGACCCATTCTTGGAAAGATTCACTGTTGTCCTAAATCATCTTATTTCAATATTTCGCCTCTGAATTTGAGCAGTAGCATCTCAGAGCTTTGGAAAGAGCTGATAGGCATAATATAAAAAAAAAACCCTATGTGGTCAGAACTTCATAGAGATCAAGGAGCCAGAGTTTTGTGAAATTTACAATATGTAGGGCAGGACAGGCTTCAAATAGCCCACATAGTTCAGTGAAGTGGTTATCACTTTAAACGAATTGATGGTCTATGGGTCAATAACTTTTTCATACTTCGAAAATCACACGTGGAGAACTTTGAAATGAGATAAATGAAACAAATATTAAACTTTTCCATTATCTATTCGGTGTCCCTTTGAAGAACAGTAAGCACCGCTTGAAAGTGATAATCTTCAGTAGCAGACATGAAAACAGAATGTTTTCAAGGGTGAGTTACAGAATTGCAGCTTTTTTGCTGACAGCATAATTAACCCATTGAAATTACATAAGAACGAATGTCACGCATCTTATTTGTGTCTGTTTTAGGAAGCAGTGTTAATCTTAACACTCAGCACGTTGCAATCTTAATCTGACAATGGATAATAACAAGGGTATCTGTTATTTGACAGACATTCTGTTAAGATAGGAGCTTACGGACAATGGCAACTGCCACAAAGTTGAAGTTTTCTAAGTTATTGAAAGACCCAGGTCCTCACTGTGTAGCCATATGAGTGAAAACCCATTCAATAACAAGTCAAGGTTTGTGTATTTGATGAAAATACAATATGACTTCTCCTCGGGCCTCAGTTGCACTAGTGATGTGGAATCCCAAATGTTAATTGTCACATTTCTGAAACTGTGCAATATGCCTATTGAAGCTTCCATTCTGAAGTTATACTTCTGCTAGCATTAGGCAGCTTGGTTTGGCGGAAGTCGTAATTTCTGTATAGCAGTAGCCCCTTTTTTCCTGCTTACATCTGCAACTTATAGTCCTATGTGGCAGCAATGAATTCCAGGTACTGGTATGTTCCAGGTACTGTTCTAATAAAATTCCTTTGTGATGGCGTGTGTCTTGGAGTTACTGACAGGAATGGATTTCCCCTGGAAGACTGACATAAAAACATAAAAAGACCATCGTCTCATTTGCCAACTGAACGAAAAATGCTTCAAGTCCATAGTGTTCCTTGAGCTTTCCTGTGGTCACAGCAGCGCATAGATTCAGCTCTTATGAAACAGACTCTACTAACAAACTATGTAAGACACATATTTGGCAGCAAAAAGAATATCGCCACCTCCACCCAAAAGATAAATTCTACAGTCTATCATCTCTCCAGTGTTTCAAAAAGCATCTATCACTTAGGCATAAACAAATCTAATAGTTTTTGCATCTTGACAATTATTTTGTAAATTTTGTCAAAGCAAAATTTCCTTTGTCTAAACTTTCATTTGTCTAAACTTTTATTCCATCGTAAAAAAATAAGACTTAACTCATTATTATTTCTACCTGTTAAATCAGAATTTGGTATTAGAGCTGCAAAACCAGACTGGTAAAATGATGGCTGTTAGAAATTTGCCGAAGTCCTAATAAGGGGAAGGATGTTCCCTCTATGGTAAATATCCAAGTAATGCCCTCAAGATTCTGTCTTAGTTCTGTGGAAATCTATAGGGAGAAGAACATGCTCAGGATCAGTCTTGGCAAAACCAAACGGCGAAAGATTTTAAAGCTGTCCTATCCTGAAGACTTATCATCTCTAGTTCTAAATCCATGCTGCCTCAGACAAAACTGAAACACAGTTCAACTCAAGGAGCATATGGCAGCTATGGCTAGGAAGGCTTTTGACCATATCCATCTTGTTTGCCAGCGTCACCCATTCCTGCGTTGGGAGGGTCTGCTTATCACGTACACCTTGGCGACCTCTTAGAAGCCTAACCTAGTCCAGAAGTCCAACTAATTCAGGGGCTGCCACAAAGAAGAGGGAGTCAACCTATTTCCAAAGCACATGAAGGTAGGACGAGAAGCAATGGGTGGAAACTAAACCAAGGAGAGAAGCAACCTAGAACCAAGGAGAAATTTCCTGACAGTTGGATCAATTAATCAGTGGAACAAGTTGCCTGCAGAGGTTATGAATGCTCCAACACTAAAGAAAGAGATTGGATAACCATTTGTCAGAAGTAGTGTAGGGTTTCCTGCCTAAGCAGGAGTTTGGATTAGAAGGTCCCTTCCAACTCTCCAAGGTCCCTTCCAACTCTGTTATTCTATTCTATTCTATTCTATTCTAATGGCAGCAGAGTGCAATAGGAAATTGTGGTATATCCAACCCATATAAACCCCATTATTTTGTAAGTTGCACGAGTAAACAATGGGCTCATGGGTTCAAGATATTTGACCCTCTATTTCTAATTATTTCTGCCTCACAACAAGATCAAATCGGATTTATAGCAATAGCACTTAGACTTACGTATATACCACTTCATAGTGCTTTATAGCCCTCTCTAAGCAGTTTAGAGTCAGCATATTGCCCCAACAATTTTGGGTCCTCATTTTACCCACCTTGGAAGGATGAAAGGCTGAGTCAACTTTGATCCTCGTGGGATTTGAACTGCCAAATTGCAGGCAGCCGACAGGCAGCAGAAGTAGCCTGCAGTACTATACTCTAACCACTGTGCCACTGAGGCTCTTCGAGCCCCTTCTGTTAAAAAGTTCTGTTTAATGTGACCAAGGATATGTGCCTTTTCTGTTGCTGGACCTGTCCCCAGGTTAGCCCTAACCTTTAGAAATAACTTAAATGTCCTGATTGTTCTGTAAAGCATTTGGTCAGGTTGTTACAATAGTCATTAGTATGTGCTAGTCTGTGTTACTTGAATGATTCCAAGGTTACATATGTGGTTCTTTTTATGAATTGCATTTTTTTTCTTCAACTTGGTAACTTCCCTGAGTTGCTTGATGAATGAGCAACTACATAAAATGGATGAATAAAATAAATTAATACCAAGGTGATTTTGTCTGCAGAATGACAAACATTTGCACATTTTTGCAGTACTGTATATGCCAAAGCAAAGTAATCTGTAAATCCACTTTGTTCGTCTCCTCTGTGGTATGTTTCATGAAATATAACTCACTTCTATTTTCGTTTTGGCTTAGCTTTTTACAAAATGGGTAATATTAGGTATTCACTGTGGTTAGCTGATTGTTCTAGGACTTGCAACTAGCTCTTTGAATCACAGAGTCTACTAAAAGCCCTGCACAGATATTCTCACCACAAGACGGTTGACCCATCTGACAGAAAGGTCAGCTTGCAGCATGCGTAAAAAGAATGTTCAGTGCATTAAAAGCAGACCCGCTCATGCGTGTACGGCCTCCTGGCATTTCTGCTGAGTCTTCCTCGTGGCCTGCTGCAGCGCCTTACCATGAGGAAGTTGTCGCGAAGCAACTTACGCTGAGCAAAGCATGAATCAAACAAACGTTTTCAATAGCAACAACAATTGTTCTTCGCTCGGAACCTTGAATTTCGATCTTTGAGGGGAAGATATGAAGAGAACCGAAGCCAGCAACATTTGATTGGACTTGCTGATTTTCAGTCTGGATTAGATAGATAGATAGATAGATAGATAGATAGATAGATAGATAGATAGATTCAAAGGGTAGATAGAGCTAGCTGTTCATAATAAAATGCTGTTCTGGTGTTTTATTCAGCATTCATGGATGATGAGGGAAAATCACTGCAGACAGACGGGTGGTTTTCTCCTCCCCCCCCAAAAAAATTCCTGAAATATTATAGGTTTTGCTGTATTTGAAACTAATATTCAGAAGTCTGAGAACTTTACAGCTGTGAGGTTGGATCAGAGTGTGATAGATAGACAGTACATTTTGAAGCTTGTGTTACATCGCCTGTCTGTTCTGTAAAATAACCAACACAGCTTCCAATCATTTGAAGAGTGACCTTGTTTAGAAATTGTGTATTAACCTAAGACTGCAATCACGTAATGTTATATGATATGAAATGCTAATTCTCTGTCTTGCTTTCTTATTGTTATTTAGACAATTCATGGCCATAAAGGGGCAATAACAGCAGTGGCTTTCGCACCCGATGGTCGGTACCTTGCCACTTACTCCAACACTGATAGTCACATTTCCTTCTGGCAGGTAAGTCCCCGATAGTTTATTTTTATTTGGTTTGTGATAGAGGTAGTCCTCAATTATTTACAACCATGATCAAGCCCCAACCTTTCTGTGGTTAAGTGAATTTTGTCCCATTCTAAAACCTTTCTTGTCACCGTTGTTAAGTGAATGACTGCAGGTGTTAAATTAGTAACACAGTTGTTCAGTGAATCCAGCTTGCCCGTCAAGAAAGTCGCAAAGGGGGCTCACATGACCCCGGGACTCTGCAACCATCATAAATATGAATTGGTTGCCAAGCATTGGAATTTGGATCACGTGACCATGGTGATACTGTGATGGTCATAAGTGTGAAAAACGGTCATAAGTCACATTTTTCTGTGCTGTTGTAACTTCAAATGGTCACTAAACAAACTATTGTAAATTGAGGATTACGTATAGTACATCATGTGCTCTCTTTTTTTCCCCACAACAATGCTCTGAGATAAACTGGGTTAAGAGACTGATCAAAATTACTATAGGTAAAGCTGAGCCTTAATCTGGGTCTATACTGTGCCTGTCCCCTAAACTATAGGTCAGTGACCCCCAACCTTTTGGGCACCAGGGGGCGGTTCCATGGAGAGAGGTTTTTCCGTGGACTGGAAGGAACGTGGTTTCGTGTGCTGCCCACATCCCACGGATGTTTGGTTCGGTTGTTTGCACGGCCCAGTTTCTAGCATACCATGGACCGGTCTCAATCCACAGACTAGGAGGGGGAGGTTGGGGACCCCTGCTATAGGTAATAATCGACCTATGACTGTAATTGAGCTGGGATTACAGTCATAAATCCTGCTGGTCATCTCATGTCTGGCCTGATTTTACAGTTTTTGTGGTGGCCATTGTTTGCAACAGTCGCTTTTGGCTGGAAACCAGAGATAAACTCCAGAAATATCATAGCTTTGAGCCGGGCACCATTTGCTTTTCTATTTCAAACAGAAAAAAAAAATTTCAAATTACGGGTAGTCCTCAGTTTACAAGCACAGTTGAGACCAGAATTTCTACTGCCATCAAATCAGTTGTTAAGTAAGTCACACCCAATTTTACAGCCTTTTTTGCCACAGTCATTAAGCCAGTCACGTTGTTAAATGCATCCAGTTTCCCCCCATTGACTGCTTGTTGGAAGCCCACTGGGAAGGTTGCAAATGGCAAACACATGACCCCAGGACGCTGCAACCATTGTAAATACATGCCAGTTGCCAAGCACCTAAATTTGGATCACACAACCATAGGGATGTTGCGACAATCACAAGCAAGAAGGCTAGTTGTGTGGGACTTTTTTCGTTGTAAACTCTCATCGCTAAATCAATGGTTGTCAGTCAAGGGCTACCTTCATTTCCCTATGGAATCTTTTCAAATACTTTATGAAGCATTTTTATTAAATCACAGAGGACAGTTCTGCTTTGAGCTGTGCCAGGAGGATGGCTCAGTATTCAATGGACTGTACAATTTAACTACAGATATGGAACAAATGTAGTGTTCAGTTGTTGTTATCATCGTTGTTTTTAATGCTCAAGCCTGAGTCATGGAAGAACATACTCCCAAACAAAATGGCAGGTGAAAGCTTTAAAAATGTAGCCCAACATATCTCAGGATGTTCCCCTACACAACATCTGCTTAAATCAATTACACAAAAGTAAAGATTTCCCTGTCAGTCATATCTGGCTCTAGGGCATGGTGCTCATCTCCGTTTGTTGGCCAAGGGTGCAAGCGTTGTCTGAAGACAATGTCATGTGGTCGGCATGGCCATACGCCAAAGGTGCATGGAATGCTATTGCTTTCCCACCAAAGTGGTACCTATTTATCTACTTGCATTTGCATCAGTGGTGGTATTGTGCCGGTTTGTTCCAGTTCTGCCAAGCCGGTAGCAGCAATGAGCAGGGGAGACTGAACCAGTTCTCTCTGCTGTTGGGCCCACCTGCCCACCCACCCGGGCTCCCATACTCACCTTTATCCTTTGCTTTTGAAGTGCGGCTCCTTTGCGCGGCACAGCAGAATGCCGCGTGGTAGCTGTTGAAGCAATGGGGAGTGCAGGATTGCAGGAGGTGAGTTAGAAAGCCTCTATGCCTGCGCAAACGCCCCTGTTCCTGTGCAAAGTGCGTGTTTGGCGCCTGCACACACGCAAAGTACGCCCACCAAGCCACGCCCACCGAACCAGTAGTACGTTTTGAAACCCACCACTGGTTTGCATGTTTTCGAACTGCGAGATGGACAAGCTGGGGCAAGAAACAGGAGCTCACCCCATCTTATGACACTGTGGGTCTCGAACCCTCTGAGCTATTGCGTCTCCTGATTCCACAACAGACAACCCAGGGAATTGAAGAGGGACACCCTTTAGTGAAATTGTGCCTTTTGTTTGGAACGCCTGCTTTTGTAAGCGGATGGCTCAATGAAGGAAAAAGCTGCAGCGGCAAGAATTATTGCTACCTCGGACTCGGTATCCCTGTAACTATCACCTAGTGCATAATTTTAATTTACTGTTACTTTCTACATTAATTTGATGATAACTGTGCATCATTAAGAGTATTGAATTTATCGCCCGTCATCGCAGAGTGTGTTATTTAGGAAGCAATGAATAAGAACTGCGAAAATGCTCTTCCATCACTTGCATGTATTTAGTTCGGTTAAGTGGGAAGATCTAGAAAGCAATCAAGCTTATTGATTGAGATGTTTTACATGATCATCTAAGATTACCGGGGGGAGTGGCCGCAGCAAGCCTGCTTCAGTGCAGACCCATCCCTCAGCATATATAATAATAAACTGCTGAGCTTAGTTCTAGCTGTGAATATTCTTCCCCCTTGATTTTATTTTCTTTTTAAACGGTAGCTTAAACAGAAGGAGTTAACAATAGCCAGCATGTTACATTTATTTAAAAATGTAGTCTTGTGTATTAGTGATTCCTCCTCTCCCTCCACTGGGTCTGTTCAGCACTGCTATTAATGCAAGAAAATCAGTAACATTAGTCATCTTAAAAGGGTTATTACTCAAGATGATTTAAATTGTGAAAATGTCATTGGGGCTTGCATTCTCCCTGCTAGAGATTTACATTCTCTGGCACTATTTTGTTGTTCAGAAGAACCAGGAAGGATTTTTTTTTTTAAAAAGAAAAGAAAGTAAGTAATGGCTTCTCTGTTGCACTGATCAGGATTCAGAACATGATATCGGCAGCAGCACATCTTAAAAAATGTCCCAGAATATGCCAAGGTTTCCATGTGTCACAATCTCAGGCGCACAGCTGACTCTGCCATCCCCATCTGGTCCAGGAAGGTTTCTACTCCTAATGGGTTTAGCTGATTAACGGAACCATTCATTTCTTTGCACAGGGACGTCGCCTACATAACAAAGTGATCTAAGTAGGCCAGTTATCAAGTGAATTGGAAGCTCCAGTTGGAATTTAAGGGCTTGTTTCCTGGATGTTTTGCTTAGGGAACCGACACGAAGAGGAGAAACCGATGCCTCTTAATGCTTCCTCTCCACCATTCCTACTGCGATTCAAAATATTGCATTTATTTCAAAATGGTGTATGAATTAAATACCCTATCTTATTTGTGAAGCAGCAAAAAGCAGAGAAAACTGTACTTGTTGACGGATGGTGCAATTACAACCATTTAATATGCATACACATCGGGTGGATAGAGGAAAGAATTGAGCTGCATAACATTTGCCTGACATTGATTATTTTTATTAAAAAAAACATGCAGTTTTCCAGCAAAATATTAATGTTCGGTTCATAAATCAGTGCAAGGGCTTTCCTATTTACTTTTGCTACTTTCTTCTTTGAACGGTGCAAAGGGAGAGGGAAGTAAGTTAGAAGAACATGTGTATGCAAGTGTAGGATGTTTTTTCTGGAGATAAACATAAATATCCAGAAAACCTTAGGAGATCCTTGGCACCAAGACTTCAAGTAAATTGCGGTTGCTCCGCAGCATTTAGGAACTGGTCTAGGTGATGCTTAGATTGCAAAGCATCTCATGGAAGGATTTGTGCAAGAGAGTATCAATAATAATAATATCTAGTGTTTATATAATGCATTTATATTACTGGAAGCACTTCAGATAGATCTCGCACAGCAGGCTTACCAGGAAGCCTGTGAACTCAGCTCAGAATGTTTTAATTTGCAGAGAGAGAGTTATCAGGAAAACACAGGTGTGTATTTAACAGTCTGTAGAGATTCTCAGTCATCCAGGTCAAGGTGCTTTTTCAGGAGGCAACTGGACTTTTTTCTTTTGAAGATGTTTCACTTCTCACCTAAGAAGTTTCTTCAGCTCTGATATCCAGCCCCACTATCTTGTCAGAGCTGAAGAAGCTTCTTGGATGAGAAGCGAAATGTCTTCAAAAGAAAAAAAAAACAAGAAAGTCTAGTTGCCTCCTGAAAAAGCACCTTTGGGACAGGTGTGTATTCATAACCACCTAGGATAGAAGTGGGGACCAATCCACAAGTGGCATAAACTCGCCCACATCTTATTGCAGATCCCAGAAATGGGAACAGTGAAATTTAAGGGCAAAATGTCAGGATTCAGCAGTGCTATTTTTGTTTGCTTGTTTCTTGATCCCTTGATTCCTTTCTTCTTAACACACACACAAAAAAAGAGGTAAAACGTCACCAAGGTAGGCAATAAATAAATAGTGCCAGGTCAAAAGAAAGTTACTCCACTCCTGATCTAATGAGTTCTAAGGTTAACAAAGATTTTTAAATGAGACTATTGCATTACAAACACAGCCAGTTTGTTGTTGTGATTAAATATAGCAATATGAGCTATTATGTAATATAATTATACTAGTGACTAGGAAATGGATGCACAAAAAAAAGTGGTAAACCAATCGATGCACTGTAAGAAGGATCTTTTTATGTTTTTTGTGGTATGTTTATGTTTATTTTGTTATGTATGTTTATGTTTATCTTGTTATTAAAAAATAAAAAAAAATTATTAAAAAAAAAACCAGGAGGTTGTGAATTCTAGTCCTGCTTTAGGCACATAGACAGTTGGGTGATCTTGGACCAGTCACTCATTCTCTCAGCCCTACGAAACAGGCAACTTCTGTGGAATTGAAATTGGGGAAATTTTGTAAAATATTTTATGGTATAAAAATTATCACAAAGCATTTCATGCCATAATACGAAATGTCATAAAATACTTTCTGTGATGAGCTCCTGGTGTTTGACTGTGCTGTACAGTTCTGTATGGGCTACCTTCAAGACAGATACACCTCTGAATATCTGTCTGGATTTTTACAAACTTTTCAAGTACATTTGAAACTCTGCCTTTGTGGTAAGGAAATGTCTCTGAAATGATGAGCCAAGTTTAGGGTTGGGTGGGTGTCTGTGTCACAAGTTGTCTGATATTCTCTAAAAACTCAAAGAGAAGGTCTATTTCATCCACAGACTCCCGCTCTGACTATCAGCTGTACTTTCTCTATCAAGCCCAGTCTTCATTTTCCCACAACCAAAATATCCCTCTCAAAAAAAAAAATGGTGGCAAAAGTTCTGCCTACCCATAGAAAGTGCAAAAAAGATTACCCTCACCCCGCTATTCTCCACTGATCAGCTCATATTTGGAGCAATGCCAGAAGGTTACATTAGAAGTTTGATTAGAAAGATGGGACGAGATGTATTCACTTGTCAGTAACTATTTGTCTACTTGCTGACCTTAAAGAGGCAAAATGAAAAGCCAGAACCACGTGACCCAAATGCAGAGATCTCTCTCTCTCCCTTTCTCTCTCTCACACACAAATGCATACACATACAAATATACAGAGAGAGGGAGAGAGAAAGAGAAAGAGAGAGGTTGCTTGGTGGATTTATGGATGGCAAACTTGAACAAAAAGTCTGAAATGGGCACCTTTCCCATTATCTTCTCTGATAAGAAATTAACACAAGCTTAAAGCTTTTGCCCTTTGTTGATGGTGTGTCTTGTGTCTGTGTGTGCGTGCATGCTATCACTTTTCAGGGTGAATGAGGTAAAAACTGAACTTCTAAATAGAGTGTGAAATGGCCTCAGAAATTATAGCTTTCTTGGGCAGCTGTAATTAAATTGTCTTTATGGATTCCCCCCACAAAAAAAAAAAAAACACAGCCAAGAGGGCAAATGAGGTTGATATGGCAGCCTCATCCAGAATATTTGCAAAAAGGCTCTTGAGTTAGAGGACTTCAGACGCCATTTATTGGCATAAGATAAAACTATAGCTGATCTTTACTGAAGACCGAAGTGGCGTTGGTAGCAGCATGAAGTTTTACTCGAGGAATTTCCTCAGCTTTTTAGGGAATTTCTTAGGATATTCAGTGCACTGTTGCAGGTAGTCCTCAACTTATGACCACAATTGGAGCCAGAACTTCTGTTGCTAAGTGATACCATTGTTAAGTGAGTCAGGCCCAATCTTACAACCTTTTTTTGCCGTGGTTGATGTGAATCCCCATCTTTGACAAGCAAATCTGGCTTTTCCCCCCATTGACTTTGTCAGAACCACCCTTGGAAAGGACATTAGGGTTTCCTGCCTAGGCAGGGGGAAGGGGGGGGTTGGACTAGAAGACCTCCAAGGTCCCTTCTAACTCTGTTGTTTATTCTATTAATGGTAATCAGATGATCCTGCAAGCATTGTAAATACACGCCGGTTGCCAAGTGCCTGAATTTGGATTGTGTGACCATGGGGACCTCGGGACAGTGGTAGATATGAGGACAGGTCATAAGCCATTCTTTTTCCAGTCCTGTTGTAGTTCAAACCAGGGGTGGGATTCTACAGGTTCTCATCTATTCACTAGAACTGGTTGTTAACATTCTAAGCAGTTCAGAGAACTGGAAGAAATTACTGGCTTAATCCTGTAAGGAAGGCAGGAAGGAAACATTCTGGTGTTGCTTACAGAAACTGCCTCTCCGTTAACCCTTATTACATTCTTGGCAGGATTAGACTTCCTGTCTCTGGAACTTCTCTAGAGTTTTTTTTTTCCTCCTTTGCTGGTACTTTGCTTGTGTGGAGGGACCATTCAAAGTTACAATGGCACTGAAAAAAGTGAGTTATGACCATTTTTCACACTTACGACTGTTGCAGCATCCCCACAGTCATGAGAGGCCTGGCAAAGAGATGCGTGCCTCAATGTGAGTGATGATGAGTTGGCCACACCCAGCCAGTCACATGACCACCAAGCCACGCCCACCACCTAAGCCACGCCCACCACCTAAGCCACGCCCACAGAAGTGGTTGTTAAAAATTCTGATTCCCATCCTTGGTTCATATGGTCATTAAATAAATGGTCTTAAGTCAAGGGCTATCCATATCCCTTCATAAGGCAAATGTATGGATTTCAGTAATGGCTGACTTGTTCTTTTTTTTCTCCCCTTTCTCCCAATGCCAGATGAACACCTCTCTTTTGGGAAGCATCGGGATGCTGAATTCTGCACCGCAGCTCCGTTGTATTAAAACCTACCAGGTGCCTCCAGTCCAGCCTGCATCTCCAGGTTCACATAATGCCCTCAAACTGGTCAGGCTTATCTGGACTTCGAACCGCAATGTTATCCTGATGGCCCACGATGGCAAAGAACATCGATTTGTGGTGTAAAGTCAGGGTGTGTGAAAGAGGCTTCTTCCCCCCCACAACCCACCAACCCCAGTTCTCAGTACAAATGTGTCTTGAAAGTTCTTGTAAATTGATTCTACCCTCTTTATGATCTTAATATTGGAGGTATTAAATACCCAAAGATTTATGGACCAGGATTGGCCAGGCAATATACGTTCTCCTTGCTTCTGCATAGCTCCTTTAGAGCAGTGTTTCTTAACCTTGGCAACTTTAAAATACATAGACTTCAACTCCCAGAATTCCCCCGCCAGTTGGCTAGAGAATTCTGGGAATTGGAAGTCCACGCATCTTAAAATTGCCAAGAGAACTTTAATTTTAGAGAAATGCAAACCCATTCAGCAATTAGAACATCTTGCAAGAGTTTTCTCTTTATCGCTACGAGAAGGAAAAAAAATAAAACAGGAGAATTGAGAATGTAACTTGAGTCTGGCTAGATTGGTGAGAATCTTGGTTTCTACTGACTTTGAGAAAGAAAATCACTTTCACAACTCAGAGCCTAAATGGAAAAAAAATTCCTTTGAAGTGTTTTGAAATGTCATGTTTACCAAAGCTTATGTGTTTACACTGAAATTCTTCCAAGTTATTGGAAGATCTTGGAGTAAGAATGCTCTGTTCCTTTCTGAAATTCTGATAGAATCAGAAAAGATCCACAAGTCCCACATGTACTCTTTTGGCATTTTTTACCTGAAAAAAAAGAGAGTCATATGTCACATATATATCTAGAATCTGAGATGCCTACTGTACTAATATCACTGGTTAATGGCATTAAAGACCCATTATATATTTCGGGTTTGGGATTTTGTAAGAAAATGTATAGAAAAGGAGAAATCATTTTCTTTGTGTAATTTCTAATCAAGATGGAAACAATGGCATATTCCCATTAGTGAAAAGGTGATTTTATGTTTCTTAGGTTGGGGAAAAAGAATTTCCCCTTCAGTGAAAATTTATACAAGAATACGAAAGAGATAATGGGGATATAGATATTTGCTGCTATTATATGTATCAATATCATATCTATGTATCCACAAATGAGCTCTTCTACAGCTTCCTCTTGCAAAAAAATGAAGACTGTTTATATCGTCAAACTCTCTTGTGACATACGTATGTCACTAATTATGATACAGCAAACTTATATCATTTGGATTAATCAGAGGAAAGATTTAAGAGTTAGAATTATTTAATAAAACATATCTTTATCATTATTGCAAGAAATATGAAGAAAAGTTAACCTTCGGGTCCATTTCAAGTGTTATCCTTAATCAGGCTGATTAGCATTCACATATCGCCTACGTCTTATATATTTATTTTTCCTGAAAAACATGGTCTGTCTCCCACCCCACTCCCTTCCTTATACAGCTAAGGGGGGAAAATGTAGAAAATATTTTATTGAAATGCTGGTGTGTTTAACATACTGTATGTATAGTATACATGTACTTCTAGACTTGAATATGAGAATACAGAGAAACTGCTCTTAATGCATGCTGATAAATTTAGCAAAAATTGCACCTGTGGAAAATTTGATTGTGGAAATTGAAGGATGAAGAATCAAGAAGGACAACTAGATGCATTTTTTGGAGCAGAGCATCTGTATCCTCTCCCCAGAAATGAATGTTGTGCATCATCTTGCCTTCCTACATAGCACTGAAACATTCCTGGTGCTTTGTATACATTGATATTATTATCAAACAATTTAGTGGGAGCTAGCATTATATCAGCCATAATTCGTTACGTTGAGAATTTTTTAAAAAACAGTAAGAAATTGTTCAAAATGTTTTACAGCACCGTAACTTTGTGCTTTTGACCTATGGTTTGGTGGAGATAAATTCAGTTGTAAATTTTCAGTTTTTCGAGGGGTGGGGGGCGTGGGGCGTTAAAGAAACATATCATGTGTGCACCTGCTTATGAGTAATTTCCCCGGAATTCCCAGAAATGTACACCATCGTTGAATTATATTACAATGACAGCATAAACGGTACAGTGAATGATAGATAGGGATACTCCCTGTCAGATAACTTTCTTTTTTATTATGTATAATTTCTTCTGTTATCCACACATTCTTTTTCCACATTGATTCCTTCAATCTGTGTGGTCCCATAGAATGATGCGTGAGAGGAAAAAAGCGCATTCCTTATTGCAAGGTTAGCTAATATTTCCTGAAATAAACAAGACTCTGCAGAGACCATTTCCAAGCAATAAGGCAAATTGAAGAGGCAGCTTTCCAAATTTACTAAAGCTATCTGCATAATGGTACTTGTTGCATCTCAGCAGGGACTCTCCAATCTCCTGGGATGTTTGGATTTCTAGCTGCCATCAACCCAGAAGCAAAGGATTGTGGGAGTTTGTAGCTAAAATGTTTTCAGGGCACTTGGAGCCTATTATTAGTGTAGGCCTACTAAGGGCCGAAGCCTACATTATGGTAATCTGAGGGTTGCCAATTAAAAAATGCACTCCAGTAAGGAGAAGGTTTTTGGTTTCCCTTCAAAACATAGTCTAAAACACAGGTGTCAAACTCACTGTTGTCACCTGACGTTTCACGACATTTTTCCCATTCGCGGAGCTGGGGTGGGCGTGGCCAGCACGTGATGCATCTGGGCCATGGGCCGCCAGTTTGACACCCCTGGTCTAACAGTTACCTGCAATATGATACTATGAATTTCCTTACAACAACCAGTGACCTAGGGAGAAAAGATAAATATACAATAATATGCATCAGGATCTAGACAAAAAAATGCCGCCTATCACAAGGCAAGTTTGAAGAACCAGCAAGTGACTCCCATTTGATATACAGCAGGCTCTCTGCATTTATAACATGGAAGCCCAACTTAGATATTCTAGACATACTACACTGTGTTATGCAAAAGGAGAGCAAATCTTTAAAGTTGTGCTGCACAATTTCAGCAGGGCTTATAGGAAACTTCCATCTTTGTTTTGAGTGGAGGGTGTCCGGTTCCCAAATGTTACAATCGGCTGTAACTGTTCCTTTTATTTTACCATGTCTTGTTTTTCAAACAAAGAATTTCCAGCATTTTGAGATGTGATGGAAAAACACATCCACCTGCTTTCATCCACAAGACATTATTTGCTGCTACGAAGGATCTAAACCTATTTTGAATATTACGATGGCGTGGGAGGGATGAACTCTTGGAGCTGTGTCTTCGGAAGATGCATAACTTGATGCATTATGTCTGTTCAAACAAAAGCAGACCAATAGAAAACCTGGCCTCTACAAAGGAGTAATTTAACAGGAAAATCAATATTTATGTACTGGTTACTTGAACAATCCACTTGGCCCGGCACAGGAGCCTTGCGTGGCTCCTTTCACTGAAACGAACGGTGCTATGCTAGAGTAGCACCGAGTGGATTTTTGCCAAGGCTTCTTAAATTCCCCTAAGATTCCCCTTATGCAAATCTGCATCGGAGAGACTTACTCAGCCCTCACTGTAAATTTCATCATAGCCTAGATCTTTCAGCACTGCAGTAAAATTTGTATTGTCATTCCGGTGTAAGCTTTTAGTGTTTTATTGATTTGTTTAGTACTGTATTTGGATTTGTCCTTGTAAATGTAGCAACGTGCGTGGCTTCATTGGCAGTTTACAAGCAAAAGATGACATGATGAGACACCTGTATGAAAATGTTGTCACTACTGAAGTCGCAGTGTATGGTAACTGATTAAAATGTTTGCCTCTAAGAAACTGCACGATTCTTATTATTTGCTGTCCAGATAGAGAGGACATAAATGGGTAATTTCTCTAAAACAACACTAAATTGTACTTGCATTCTAATTTTCACCATCCCACTTAGCAACACTTTCTGTTTGCATGAGACCCATTGTAAATAAGGCTATCTCCTGCTCTCCATGAATGGACTTAACACTTGATGGCAAATGAATGTCAATGGTTTTGTTTGCTTGATTTCAAGAACGGATGAAACATGCTGAAAAACTGAAAGAGATTTTAATCCTAGAAGGGAAACAGGTAATGACAATATCATATGCATAAACAAATCAAAGCAACTCTTCAATACGTTCCCTAGTGCTGTATTGCTAGGAAAGCCAGACGTTGAAAAAGAGAGAGAGCAAAAAAGAGACAAAAAATGGACCTCTCCAAATTATGGATCTGGAGACAATACCAAGAGTGTCATGGAGTACAAGAAGAACCAATCACTCAATCAGTCCTGGGCCACAGGCAGACTGACTGCTCCCTTGAGGCAAAGATCAGCAAACAGAAACTCACATCTGCAAGCAGATGATGGACTACACAAATTGATGATGATTGGCATGAAGACAGTGAATAAAGAGAATAAAATGGATGGATGGAATCAGGTCACAGAAGCATCCTTTGGAAAAGCTACAAGTTTCTGCCAGAGACAGGTCAAAATATTAATGACCTGTTACTACTAAATTTATAAAGCGAGTTTTACTGAAACTAGCTTATAACAATGCCGGGCACTTGCCCATGAAATCATCAAAACCTCAATGGTACCTAGAATACATTAACATGAATACTAGTGCCATACATACCGTATGTACTCAACATTGGGAAATGGCAGAGAATTTAGCAGTACTGCTTGATGAATTCTACATTTGAGTAGATTGGAAGCATTCTGGCTTTCTAGAATTGTTGAATATTGCCATTATTAGTATTTTCCTGCAGTAATCCTAGGAATTGCAGCTTGGCAATTCTTGGGTGTTTCTAGATTCTCCTCCATTTCAGTGGATGTTAGGGTGAAGAAGAATCAAATGTATTTATTTACTGTACTACTCCATGGAAACTTACGGCAACAGACAATGAAGTAGAATAAAAGCATTGGCAATATTTTAATACAAAAATGAACTTTCAAAAAAAAAAGCAGTACAGTGTTTTCAAATCCATCTGGACTACTGGCTGGGAGCTTTTCCATGGCAAGCGGGCTACTTATGAAAAAAAAGTTTCTCACATTATCCAACCCAGGATTCTTTGTGGAGAGCATCCTTAAAGCCGACATTTGAGATGTGCACAATAAAAGAAGAGGATCAAAAACAATCCTTGGAATTATTCCGGGTAGCCAATGTAGCGGCCACAGAATCTGTATTAGGTATCAATAGCAAAATCACCCATCAACAAGCAAGTTGCTCCATTTGGGATCAATTGCAAATTCCTAGTAGTTTTTTTAAAAAATAGCTCCATGCAGAACATATTCCAGTACTTACTGGGAGGTGAGAAGACAGTTTATTGTTGACAAGGTTTCCTTTACAAGGAAGGGCCACAACTCAAGACATCTTGCCATGCAAAGTAGCTCCGAACTGTGAGATGGACAGTAAGGTAAAGGTTCCCTTTGCATATATGTGCTAGTCATTTCTGGCTCTAGGGGGCAGTGCTTATCTCTGTTACAAAGCTGTCCGAAGAGCCAGCACTGTCCAAAGACGTCTCCATGGTCATGTGACCGGCATGACTAAACACTGAAGGGGCACGGAACGCTGTTACCTTCCCACCAAAGTGGGAAAAG